TATTTACAATGCGAACCACCTCCATTTTGCCATGGTACACTCCTCTAAGATTTTACAAGAATAAACATAGCGAAATTATCGAAGACTTGCTTCCAACTGTTTAACCACAAGACAACACATATGATACGCGTCTGGAAAAAACAAACAATTCGCACAGCCACGTAAACAGGCAGACAGACAGATACAGATTTCGTCTAGAACGTTATTTTCCACTACAGCGACTTTGCAAAGAAATAATAAAATGACTCCGGTCGAACCATTCATGGATACAACGACAATGTGACGTTTTCACCACCTTCATACATCTAAGGGGCAAAGGTAGTTTGTAACTAATATGATGTTTATCTCAAAGCTTGTCAAACTACGCACAGTATGTCCGATAACCCGTACTGTACAACTTTACAAACAATGATTTGATTGTCTTCACATTTTCATTATGATTTACTCATTTGTCATTATTTTCACAGCGTTTAAAGGGAATTTGCAGTCTATATGACTGGCATTAAGCATCACTGTCGTGTTTAAGGTAGCGACCCACGTTCGTGGCCTCCCATTTTAAATCTTTTAAATACAGTTTGTATTTATATCATTAGATATGTGTTCAAAATTGATGACGTGCAAAAAGGGTTTTGAAAATTTCCAACGATTGACTGCTTTCCCCAGAAGACTTGTAAATGAAAACTCCGATTTACGCGCTGAATTGGTGTTTACTTTGCGATATATACATACCGGTAACCAATTTACGAATGTAGATATCTCTCATTGCCAAAAAACTAATATTGAACCTGTCATATCGTTTCCCATCATCCATAATCGCTATCTTAACATATTTGCATTTTTTTCCTATTAATCTTGTAAATTAATTAATCAGACATATGATTTGCCAAGGTTATATATATATATAACTGAGTTTGATTTCACATGTAACCATGGAGACGCCCAACTCCATAAAATGATCAATAACTTATGAGTGTAAACCAGATTAAAATTAATCTTATCGATATTTTATCAGAGGTATGCCATAACTCACGCACACTCTATGTCCTTCATGTGTCGCATCGACTACGTTGCCAATCAACTGGCTAGTGACTTCGGGCACACGACGAACACGACCGAGCACTTGTATTTAACACGTATTCGGCGTCAAGGCTCGTGTAAATCCATTTTAAAAGAGAAATCCTTCTTTTTTCATTAAATTGTTAGTGATTGTAATACTCGTACAATGGTTGTATTATCCAGTTAGAAGAAGAATCGCAAGATGTAAAGTGCAAATCTGCCTATAGGGATGGCTTTCAGAATACTAGTACTAGGAATATCCCGGCATTCCAATGACAACAACCTGGTAAACTGAAGAGGGGGGTTTTAAACACTTGCCTCACTGTTTCATAGAGTCACGGTCTTTATTAACGATTTAAAAAGAAAACAACCTAGTGTGTTTTTATTATCTCGTCTACACCATTAAACGTTACTTGGCATTTGTTCAATTTACCGTAATATAGACTGTCAGAACTGCTCCATAGTATAAATCCTTGTTTGACTAAAACCGTGACGATAGTCAGGCCACTAGGTCAAACTGGTTATTGGTAGAACCTAAAAGACCTTCTTCGATGAATACGATGTAGGTACCTCGAAATGACGTCATACATGGTCCACACGTATACTGTCAATGAATTTCTTCTATAAACACGTCTGGTAGAAATCACCCTTCAGTCAAACCCACCCACAATAGAACCCACATCTGACAATCCTATCCTGGTTAATGTTGTGAAAAGATTGAAAGTCTGTTTGTTTGCAGACTCCGTGGGGCGCCGGGTATAAACTTTTTTTCATTTACGAAATGAACAGACTTCAATGCAACTTGTTGTTTAAAATTGTACCATTCTTTCAAAAGTGACCAAAACAAACAACTACGACAGTGTTGTTTTTATTGAATATAATAACACCTGTAAAAGGTTCCACGCCGTCATTGTTTACATTACTGTCCCTCTTTTTCCTGTTACAGCATTTTTTATCTACTAATCCCGACTCAACGGACGAGGATTCGTCGAACCCAGCTACACCGATGTCAGTTCATGGAGTCTTCAATGAACAGTGTGTACACTTGGAATGATTGAACACTTATTTAGAGTTGGCGTTTGACTGGACATGGCTGTTTGTCTGCTCCCACTCGTTAGCCAACGCTCGTCTGTTCGACGACATTTTAAAGTTGTTTGATGTACACTTTTACAAAGTGTTAATATAAATTGTTATATTAACTCACGTTATGGCCATCTAAGTTTGGTGACGTCACAGGGCTGTTTGCCACTTTTTATTACGACCCTGCCTTAAACGCCGATTCATCCATGAAATACAGTCGTTACTACGCGACGAATGATTGTAAAACAAATATTTTTCAACAAAAACGCGTCATTCTTTTGACGATTTCGCTTACAACATGTCCATGACATCTCAATAAACATTGTCATTTTAAAGTTTACTTCTGATCACTGAATGCTTGCGTATTTGAAGTAGCTATGCGTCTATCGTAAATCATTCCTATTCTCGGTCATGGCGTTGGTACAGTACCGCAGTTGACGGGTGATCTTTTGGCTCTGTACCAACACTCATTATGTCAATTGCACGTCGTGTCTGTGCCCATTCACCGACTGGTCACGAAAGGTTGCCTTTATGGATTGTTCGCACCATCATACGAACTATTTGTTGTCACATTCGGAAAGGTGTTGCTAACTTGAATGTGCATTTCTCCGGCCAGCAATAACATCCGGGCTTTTTATTTGTAATCAAAGCGTCTGATGCCTGGTCCAATTTTAAAATAAGAACATTTCGGCACTACACATGTATAACGTGATTAACGTGATTAAAGAGTAGCGGCTGCTTGAGTTACTGAATATGGGCAAGCACAAGCTTCGACACGTTCAGGACTGAGTGTAAAATAATGGAGGCCAGTCAGCGTCCTGTTGCCATTGCTTAGCAACGGCGTTGTTGACAGCAGCTGTCAAATCTGCCTTTTTAGTGTTTCGGGAAAACATTTTCACTGCGATCATTCAAATGCGAACTACTTTTACAAGGAAAGTGATCTCCGCGAGTGTAGGTGTAACACTTTACACGTTGAGTTGGGAAAGTTCACTTGCGATCCATCAGTGGCTGTTGTTTGCTTTTAGCTTTGTCCTCGAGTTCTTCTATTGTGGAGTTATTTAGTAACACCGGTGTATTAGAACCGCCTCAGGCATGAACGCTCCGGGTTTGCTTCGCTGAATCTGACTGGAGGGCTGATCCGACCACTTCCGAGCTTTCATTGCTGCCGACCTATTTTTATTATTACATTAGCGCTCAAATAAAAAAAAATAATAGTTTGGAATAAAAGAACACGATAAAGAGAACCATACACATGCGATATTATTATATTGTGCTAGGGACGGTAGTAGGTAAATATGAACAATACCATGCAAGACAATACCCCACTGTAATCAACGTTTTAACAATCGTTGTGTGATGAGCAATCACACTTCGCTCGAAGCCTGCGACTAGGAGTGTGATTTTGTTATAACTTTGTTTACTGCGCTGTCTACGAAAATGAAAACAATATCAACGATATCGTATTTCTTGGTACATGCGATGTAACCGACACGTTGTTGATTTTAGCCGGGTTTAAATTATTTGATTGCCCACAGAGAAGGCGTGAGAGCTGAGCCTGACATGCGTTTATAGGTTTTAAATGACCGGTCACGTGATTGAAATCATGTGATTATTTTGATTTAAACTCGACTTGGCTCTTCCAGCTGTTTGTTTGATTGCTCCCACCAAAGTATGAACAACATACAGTAAAATCAGCTGCAAACAAAAGTATCCATTTAGAACTGTACAGGCGAAAAAATATATACAATGTCCGGACGTCGTGTTAGTATGAGATAGGGGCGTGTAATCTGGGGAGGGGGGGGGGTTATGACGTAATTTGGTTGTTCGTACAGACCGGGCCATGAAATAATGAAACAACACGATCATGTTACCTAATCCACCCTTAATGCCAGTGTGATTTACCAGTCAACCCAAAACACGAACAACAACGTTTCTTTCCCGTATTGAGTTTCGCGATGATGTAACGCAGATTCAAGATTAGTCGCGCATCCCTTTCCCCGGTTCATGTTTTTTACTTTTATCCGCCAAAATCTCAGCTCGTACACAATTTATTGTCATAAATATTACACACAGTCACTGCTGTGATATTCATAGTCACATGCATCCACTTTGGCACGACATAATAGACCTGTAAGTTCGAGAAAACACGTTTTTACTGGAGCTTGGCTTGAACTGTTTACTACAGCGTGACAAGCAAGGCAATAATCCCTATTGTTTAGGAGCGTATTTATAGTATATCTGGGCCTTTAAACAGCGCACGGTGCAGCTAGTATTGAATTGCATTTATACGTTGCATTGATTGTTGCACCTTTCTGGAAATCACTGTATCACATTCGCGAACAAGGACCCCGGTCTGAAACCGAGTAAACTGGACAAGTTTTAAGTTTTAAATCGGATTACCGGATGTGAATATTACTCATTTGATGTCGATAAAAATATATCAGTACAACTCAACTTTAAAGAATGCTTGTATATCTGTCAACACAGAGTCCAGTTACTGGGGACGCCATGTTAATGTGTAGTCAGTTGACTTATCGCAAGGTGAAGCCCAGCGTTTTTAAACAATAAGTATCGAGAACCATTGTCATTATGACAAAACCCTGTAAACACGGCCATTTAATAATGACTTTTTGTATTACGAATTATATTGATTTATTTTCTCATAAACATTTAATTGTATATTTCAATTCGAATACGTTTGTGACGCTGTTTTTTTAAAATAGGTACAGTGTCCGTTTCACAATGGCGTGTGACGATCGATTAGCTTGGCACAAGGTGTGCAAAACCGTTAACATCATAACAAAGCTGTATACAAGCAATGGCGTAATACTACTAACAACAAATTTTAATATATTTTCACCTACCAATTCATCCAGCGACATGAGATCAAAGTTCTTCTTCTGCACACATATTTCCGATTTCGGACCACCCGAAATTTCGGCGTCGATTTCGGCCTCCATCTGAATAATCGTCGGAGACTCCATGCCGAACTTTGCCCCGCGCCGGGCAACTTCAAGCAAGCACAACACAAAACTTTTCTCGTTTTTCCGTAAAACTAAATCGTCGGTCTCGAATAACAACACGTCCTTTACACCAAGAGAATGTCGACACCATGTTATAAAATTGCTGATATTATCCCTAGCCATGAACGTTCCGGGGGGCGCTAACGGCTTGTACCTTATTTCCGTCTCCGGGATTTGTAACCCATTCCTCGCCGCTAACTCGGCGAACTGTCTCCGGTACTCGACGGCAGCTTTGTGCACATTATTCGCGTGTTGACAGAGAACGATACCGGACTCCAGTTTCTCTAGAAAGGTCTCGACGGTAAGGTCCAAGTTATACATATCGTTAAACCACTCTGCCAAGTCTTCTTTCATAGCGTAGATATAGTCCACATTAGATTTAAAGCCGCGTATCGGCGTGGCTTCCCACTTCGTATTGAACTTCACGCTGTACGGATCAACGATCTCCTCTGTATCCGGGTCCGCCATGGTGCTAGCAGCGACTACGATTAAGAAATCAGAGTTGATTTGAAGGACATCAAAGTACGATGTTGTCTTTCGTTCGCTTGCACTGTACGCCGTATCACGTCATTTGGGATACCTAACTCCGAATCTACCCCCGTTCGTGTACTCAGGTAGCGGCTGTAATAGTATGTGTACTCTTGGATCACGTGACCGGAGACTGGGGAATCTCTGTGAGTAACAGGGTATTCAAGTCATGTGACGTACGCGTTTTGCATACCAATAGTAACCCGTACAAGATTTTAATTGAGCTTTTGGGCTATAAATATACTTTATATTATTATTTTATTTTATCTAAAAAAATCGAATAACATAATATGAAATATACTTTGCTGTTTTTTCAAATGCAGGAGATATATTTAGGTGCATCGTGTGGGCTGATATCCGGCAGGGTCATGAATTCTCTTCCTGGACACCCACGGATATGTGGGGGCGCTACACAACACACCAAGTTTGTTAAGCTAGACGTGATGTGGAGTGAATCAATGTACATCTGTATATTAAAATTCCACGGAGGATGATCAGATGACAATGCATTTCACATTAATATTTGTGGCTACCGTCACCACAATATCGCGTTACCATCAAATGCGCCATCACACAGGCAACATATGATTTATTTACAAATAAAATACTCCATATCCCATGGAAGCATCGCGCGTACATGTCATATGGAACCGATATCGAACACAACCGTGTGGCGAGTGAGCTGCAACTATTTTTTCAACATTGGATTTTTTTTTCTGATTTGAAAAAAAAAAAGAAGCACACAATGTTTTAATCTCAAAGCTCGCTTTTAATGATACACACTTCGTATTTGTCCATTCATTACCGGATATGGATGATTACCATTCTAGTCTATGATGAGGTCAGTGGTTAATACAGGAGGTTAAGGAGAAGGAATGTGTCAGATTATTGAACTTTGAACTAAAAGAGAACGCAGTAATTTAGTATTTTGCACGAAGTCAAACAAAAAAAGTGTTTTTTTGTAAGGCATTATATTTTTGAATTTTTTTTTGTACATCATATAACTTCTAGTTAGTAGATATCATGTGACGTGTTGTAATTCGTTACATTCTAACTAGACTCACTTGAGACAAATTATGTATGCGTCACACAATGTATCCCGCCCTCACGCGGTTACTATATGCAATGTCAGTTTGAACGACTTTATCGCGATATCTCAAAAACTGTTTTTTGAATAATTAAGGTATGCCTTCGACGTGGCTTGATCCATGTGCATCCATGTGCGACATCACATTATTCTTTTTATTTTCAAAACGTACAATTGATGCCATGCTTGCATAGTAGTGTATCACAGAGTAACAAAGCTTTGGATTTGAATTTTAGCGAAAACACCGTGTCCCGGATTCGAAAGTGCGTATCTGCACATACAGTGAGCGCTCAACTGGATCAACTTTTCCATTATTGCCAGGATACATTATTTGATTTAAAACAAAATACTAGATACTATAAATCGCCATTTTCATCTTTTTCGTCTCTACATGCAAATTAGTTCCACCTCTAGTATTCACAATGTCGTCTATGGAGAGACCTGTATATTTCTCAACATGTGGTTCTCAATCTGTCATTGCAACTTATCTTTACATCCACCACCATCGCTCCTTCTTTATGCCACGACTGTCATGGCAACATATCTTTACAATCACCACCACCATCGCTCCTTCTCCATGCCACGACTGTCATGGCAACTTATCGTTACAACCACCACCACCATCGCTCTTCCTCCATGCCATAGCAGTCACGGCAACTTATCTTGACAACAACAATAACCATCACCACCACCACCACTCCTTCTCCATGTCATGTACGTTACGGCAACTTATCTTCATAACCACCACCATCGTCTCTTCTCCACGCCATGACAGCCACGGAAACTTAGCTTTACAACCACCACAATCGCTCCTTCCCTATGCCATGACTGTCACGGCAACTCATCTTCACAACCACTACCATCGCTCCTTCTCCATGCCACGACTATCGTGGCAACTTATCTTTACAACCACCACCATCATTGCTCCTCCTTTATGCCACGACTGTCACGGCAAACTATCTTTACAACCACCACCATCGCTCCTTCTCCATGCCATGGTTGTCATGGCAAACTATCTTCACAACCACGACCATCATCGCTCCTTCTCAATGCCACGACTGTCACGGCAAACTATCTTTACAACCACCACTATCGCTCCTTCTCCATGCCATGGTTGTCACAGCAAACTATCTTTACAACCACCACCACCACCATTGCTCCTTCTCAATGCCACGACAGTTGCAGGCGTACACGCGTGGTTTACCAAGCTCAACATTTTATCGGAACATTGACGACATAGAATTATTTTAATACCATAATTTAATTTAACTTTTAATTTAGGTCAGAAATGGTGTTACTCGAGGCAAATTGTCTTTGGGGACATAGTTAAGGCAATACATTGACGATATTAATTTCATAATAGCCAACAGGTGTTGTGCTGGCAACATAAACATTGTTTTATATGTATATATACCAGCGTACTGCCTCATAAAGTTACAACGAACGTGTGACGGCGGTTAGCTCTTTGAGTACAACAATGGCGAATAACTCCGACACGTTCGCTGCTATCGAGATTATTCCGCAGAACGCCAACGTTTTCGAATCCTATCCGTACTTGATAATCCACGATATCGACTCCAACATTGAAGTTCCGTACATTATACCGTCTGTGCCGTTCATACAGCTAAACCTGGCATTATGCTACGCCAGTTACCCGCAAGATATCGGTAAAGTGGGCGTCGTGTTCGTACGACAAGACGAGGCGGTCGTCAAACAAGCTAAAAACTTGGTATTTCCACAGTTGATACGGGTGTTACGAAGTACGGACATGGAGGTGAGACAATATGACATTATTAATTCCGCCCAAATTGAATTATTATTTGACTATTTATTTTGTTTTTTCCATGGAAACTTAGTGGATACTAGGTTAATATAATTACCACATATTCGATTCTACGATTGAAGCTTGTATCGACAACCCGACCCTATAACGCAAACATGCTCATTACATAATTTAATTTCGATGAAAGCACACGCTTGAACGAAAACCCGATGTAGCGTTGGGACCTTTTATGTATACATACGGGTATTATTGTTTCAAAACGTGCGCAATTTTTGTATTCATAAGAATGCGAGTCTCAGCTCGAATTGCTACGCAAATGTTAGATGTTAAATTACCAATATATACACACGATGTCAAATTATATGTAATTATGTGAGTGATATGTCAATGTAGCTCAGAGACTTTGCCTCGTACGTCTACATCATGTTTTCGTGCATTACCACGTACGGTCTAATTGCTGACATGGTGTATGGCGTTTCGCGGCGGGGTTGGGAGGTGATGAAGGGCGTCACTGTTATATATTAGTAACCTAATTTTTTAGCATATTTAAATAATTTTGTTTGATATTGCGTATTGGTAAAAACAACAGGGTATGATTTATCGTTAAATATAAACATTAATTTGACAGTAAACACTACCTGCACTACCTAATTACGTGCAAGTATTGACGCACGCGCACTGTTGTTTTTTGTGTGAAATATTCAAAATTAGAATATATAGCGGGAGTTCAAATCTTGTGTGAACAATGTATTTTACTCGCGTTGTGTACATCGCGTGAGACCCATACTGAACTCGCCGAGACGTGATGGCCACCGCCATTTTAATATATAATCATTATATTACAGTACATGTACGATACAGACAAAGATGGTAAGTCGCTGGACACGCCTATGCGAGACACTGAGATCCTGTTGTGGGAGTGGATCTACATCAAACAAGTCGTGGTCACAGAGGAAGTGAAAGATAAAGTATTGACAATGAAATCACAATATACAAATATTGCGCAGGAATACCACGAAGAGCGAACAACGCCGCAGCAAAAACAGGCGACCACACTCCCTGGAAGCAAGACGACGACATCATCGACCAAGGCGTCACCGATCGAAAACCGCAAAGATCCAACGAACGCAGGGTTGTCGACGCCACCTGTAAGTCGGACGACCAATGTAGGCACAACGTCTTCACCGTTGGTAATTCGCGAAGACGAAGCTGACGGAAGAGCATCGCCGGAGGAGGAAGGTTTCTTTGATAGAATACTGCACACAATTCGCGACACCTTGCCCACGATAGGTCCCGACAAAAAGGAAGGCACGGAAGAGCCGCCGCCACAACCACCGCCACCAACGGCAAACAAAGGATTTTTTTCATTCTCAAAATAAACTTTATTGTATATTTTGATATCTTTTCATCTCGGAAGGGAGAGAAATTATAAACGTTATTTATTAATATATTTAATTTATTAATATTTACAATATTAAAATGTAACTACATAGTCCCTATTGTTATAGGCTTGATCGTTAAAAACAATTCAACTTCCTAATTTCATTAACTAAATTCAGTGCGCGGACTGCTCTTATGTATATGCTGCAAATTATAACATTTCTAAATTTTGTTAGAAAGTAATCAATTCTTTATCTTATATTATTTTGTTTTTTGAAAATAATAGTTGTTTCTCTTCTGCATGATTAAAGAAAAGAAGAATTGGTTAGAAATTCTTTACTGGAGTACATATCTGAGAAAAGACTGTGTTACGAAAACGTGAGAGCACAATGCGAATATCCTCGGGGCGGAGCTACGTCACAAGACGTTCCACGTTGCTACGACGCGCATCACTGTACATGCATTTCTATGGGCTCTGTGCGCGCTGCTGTGGAACGCCGGTCGAGCCGGTGAAAATCGAGAAAACAACACAAACTCAACTTTGAAGTAATCCTGAACAACCAAATTTATATATGTTACACACGTAGGGCTAATCTTGTTACACTGTTCAGAGGAGTCTCAACAATCATCCCAAAGTACCGTTTTCTGCGAGTTTTGGGCCTTTGTTTTCACCGCGAGGGTTGCCAGGCGGTGAAAATGCCCGGATATCCGCCCCGAGGATAGTTGTTAACGAAAACGAGGCGATGCCAAGATCTCATTAATATAGACTCTACGCGGTGTTTCACCCACCAC